AGAAGTTACATGACTTATCTTGGAGGTCTCAGTGCAGCAGAAAGTAGAACCTGAATTTTAAGTTATTTGCACGTTTCTGAAATCTTAACTTTTGGAATGAGTGAGAAGTGTAATTTGCTGTTGACTAACAACTCAAACTAATGGTAGGATATATTTACTGATTTTATTTTATTTTATTTTATGTTTTAGACAACTAGTGAGTAAGATCCTTCTCAGAATCAGTCTATGTGATAATCAATAATAACTTAAATTTGCTTATGCTTATGCTGACCTCTTATATTCTGTCCATGACATATAAATGGAAAAAAAGTGGGAGCTAAAACCCCTGTTTGGAACACTTTTGATGTTGTGTATCATTATAACTCAGTCAACTAAAACTGGCAATACTCATCTTTCAATGATTTCATTTCTTGATGTACTAGGGAAGTGATTAGGAGAGGTTTGTGATATTATACATTTTTGTTGATATTATACATTTTTGTTTTGATAATTCATATTCAAAAAACCCTTAGTTTGATAAATATTCTTATGTCTTTCAGAATATGATGCTTTGGCAAAAGTGATTCAACACCATCCAGACAGGCATGAGACATTAAAGTAAGTGTAGAGTTTTACTTTGAAAGGAACTAACCTTTATACATAAATGCTCATAAACTACCCTAGGCATTTCATTTTTTGCAGAAATAAACATGTTTCAAAAGGAGGGGTCAGATCTTCAATATTATATTTTCCCATACTTCTCTGTTAGATTTTATTTCCCTCTGACCTTACCACCTATATGTCTGAAATAAATGCATGTAATATGCATCAATAGCACAATGGATAAATAGAATATGGTCTTCATATATTAAAATACTGAATTTCAGTTAAAAAGAATAAACTAGTTATGCCCTTTTAAAACACAGCTCTCAAAACATAGTCAGTGAAAAGACACATAATAAATTTTAAATTATTATTACATTCCTGAAACAAAGAATAATAACCATTTATAAAAGTTAGAACCCCCTTTCAAATATTATATACCAATACTGTATATTATTCAGAGATACAAGTATATGCATAAAAAAGAATTAGAATGATATAGTAGTTGCCTGAGTGGGAGGTAGAGGAGATAAAACAGCCCAGGATAGAGGTCTAGAGGTAAGATTCAAAGGATATTTCGAGTTAATTGGCAATGTTTTATTTCTTTTACAAAAAAAAAAAAACCCTTGAAGTTAAGCTTCACAATATGTATCATTTCTTGGGTCTTGTTATTTTATTATCTGTGTTTTTCTGTACTTTAAAAATGTATCCAAAAATGTAATTTTAATGAAAGTAAGTCCATATTTAGAAGTTAAGAAGAAATCATCCCCAGCTTCAGAAGTTTCACCATAATGGAGTGTTATAACTCCTTATAAGTCTTTTTTTTTTAAATTTTAAAAATCCTATCTAGTAACTAAAAAGTTAGGTATTAATTGTAATCTCTTTTCCCCCATTCAGCAAAATGTAACACTGTTTTATTTCCAGGGAACTAGAGGCTCTGGGAAAAGAATTAGAGCATCTTTCACACATTAAAGAAAGTGTTGAAGATAAGGTATCTGCACATATATTTAGCCTTTGTGATCTATCTATCTGTCTGTCTATATATCTATATATATAGGTCATCATTTGTATAAATTTTTTTCTTGTTAACACAGCTGGAATTGAGACGGAAACAGTTTCACGTTCTTCTTAGTACCATCCATGAACTTCAGCAAACATTAGAAAGTAAGTAGAAATAGTCTCAAAATAAATGTTTATGAAGATTTTTTAAATGACCCAGGAATGTATCTTTTGAAATATATATCTTGGAGAGAGAGTATACCTTCTATTTCTGAACAATATAGCTGGATGACGTTAGAAGGTACTCAAGTTCAACTTTCTTGAATATATGTAGAAAAGTCATAATTTGTGGTAATATAGGATTTAAAGATATACATAGTGTTTTAAATTAAGAAAAATTCAAGGATGATAGATTTGGAATCTTTCTTGGTTCACTGTAGTTGATTACTATAATGTAATAACTCAAGACCCAGGCAGGCAATAATAAGGAATCAGTACATAAGAACATTTGCATACCCACTGAGTGGTGGGTACTTTGGAGAACTGGAGACTTGCTCTTTATATTCACTGTAGACAGTTAGAAATTTTTGTATTACCTGATCTTTTGATTGTTTTAAAGAATAGCCTAAGACCCAGTTTTGTTTTGTTTTGTTTTTTAAGACAGTCTTCCTGTCATCCAGGCTGGAGTGCAGTGACAGAGTCTTGGCTCACTGCAATCCCCACCTTGCAGGCTCAAGTGATTCTCATGCCTCAGCCTCCCGAGTAGCTGGAATTACAGGTGCATGCAACCACGCCCAGCTAATTTTAGTATTCTTAGTAGAGATGGGGTTTTACCATGTAGGGTAGGCTGGTCTTGAATTCCTGACCTCTAATGATCCACCCGCCTCGGCCTCCCAAAGTGCTGGGATTACAGGTGTAAGCCACCACACCCTGCCCAGATTTTTTTTTTTTTAAGTGAAATCTATCACATAAATTTGAAAGTTTGATTCAACTAGTAGCCATCTTTGCTTTAATTGTATTGGCTAATACAGGATAAACATGTTTTCATGTGTTCATTGAATATAAAACATAGGCAAACTTGACTAAGGTTTTATGTTTCCTTCTCAATTACAGATGATGAAAAACTCTCAGAGGTAGAAGATGCTCAGGAAGCAAGCATGGAAACAGATCCTAAGCCATAGACAGGCTAATCGCCCACCACTCCCAGGAATATTGAAATAGCTACGTGACCATAATGTGTTTAAAATGTGGTGTGCTCTTGAGATATTTAAAGTTTTGGCAGTAAAATACTCTGTTTTTAAATATGAATGTGTATTTCATTCATATTTCCTCACACAAAGGAAAATGACTTCAGTATAGATTTGTTTTTATTAAAATGCATTTTTTTATTCTTAAGTGGTAGGAAGCAACATCCAAAAATGCTTAATAAAATGCTTTTAAGCTGGATATGTTTGTGCTCATTAATATTCTAGGTAGTTTTTAACTGGTAACATTGATTGGCTTACAAAATAAGTTGAAAATTGTTAGAAGTTGGCATTTCTAGGATGTACATGGGAAAATGGGCCAATTTCTGGAAATGGTTACACTTCTGAAAATGGAGTCTATGAAGAGGCTTTAGGAGGGCCATGAATCTGTGAAATTACATGCAAAATGTTTGTGGTGTATGCTTATTGTGTAGAGAGATTCCAGGCTGTTAAAAGTCACTGGTATGAGAGGTAATTATAAGATGCAAAGTAAAATAATGCACATTACTTTCTATATCTCTCCTTAATATGTGAGGAATATAATTCTCAAATGTTTTGTTGATCTCTTTTCTCTACTGTTTTGTTCTTTAGGAATCATTTTCAGTAGAAAAAAATGTACTGATAAAGTGAAGAGTTGTTTGAAGTAAATAGTTTGTTAAGATTGTCTTGCATAGGCCAGGCGCGGTGGCTCACGTCTGTAATCCCAGCACTTTGGAAGGCCAACGCAGGCAGATCACCTGAGGTCAAGAGTTCGAGACCAGCCTGACCAACATGAAGAAACCCCGTCTCTACTAAAAAAAATACAAAATTAGCCAGGTATGGTGGCACCTGCCTATAATCCCAGCTACTCAGGAGGCTGAGGAAGGAGAATCATTTGAACCCAGGAGGCAAAGGTTGCGGTAAACCAAGATCGCGCCATTGCACTCCAGCCTGGGCAATAAGAGTGAAACTCCATCTAAAAAAAAAAAAAAAGATTGTCTTGCATAAAGAATTTATTATCTTTTTAAAAATTAAGCTAAGGCTGAATCACTTGTGATTTTCTTAAGTATTTCATTACACGTGTAATACTTGTTCGGCTCCATCCTTATCCATTTATTTTAGTTAAGAAACATGACACTTTGCATGAATCATACCTTAATGATGTTACATTTTTGTAATTTTAATAATTTTTATCTTAAAAATGAAAGTTTAAAATTAGCGCAGTTGTAGTCATATTAAAAGTGTCATAATACCTATAAATACTTCCTCTAATTTCATCTGGCAAGTCATGGGAGAAGTTTCTTTGCAGAATTGCTATGCTGTGACAAATGTTTCTATTTTCCATTATTAGTAAAAATTATGAAACAAAAATTTGCCTATATTGACTCAGAATTAAAAATCGATTTTTTTTTTCTTTTCTGAGACAGGGTCTTGCCCTGTCATCCAGGCTGGAGTGTAGTGGCTTGATCACAGCTCACTGTAGCCTTGACCTCCCAGGCTTAAGCAATTCTTCTATGTCAACCTCCCGAGTAGCTGGGACTACAGGCAACACATCACCATACGCAGCTAATTTTTAAAAGTTTTTTGTAGTAACAGATTCTCACTATATTGCCCAAGCTGGTCTCAAACTCCTGGGTTCACGTGATCTACCCACCTCAGCCTCCCAAAGTTCTGGGAGTATAGGCGTGAGCCACTGTGCCCCAGACAAATACCAGTTTTTCAAAAAAGATATTTATTTTTTAAAGGACTATTGGGTAGAATTTTTTTTAAATGCTGTCTCCCCATCCCCACCCCCGTTGATTAATTCACTAGAGAGATTGTTTCAGGATTAAGTAAAGATAAGAGTCTCTTGGAAGATAACTTTTATTTATTTATTTTTGAGATGGAGTCTTGCGCTGTCGCCCAGGCTGTAGTGCAGTGGTGCGATCTCGGCTCACTGCAGCCTCTGCCTCCCAGGTTCAAGCAATTCTCCTGTCTCAGCCCCCCGAATAGCTGGGATTATAGGCGCCTGCCACCACACCTGGTTAATTTTTGTATTTTTAGTAGAGATGGGGTTTCACCATGTTGGCCAGGCTGGTTTTGAACTCCAGACCTCAAAGGATTCGCCTGCCTCGGCCTCCCAAAGTGCTGAGATTACAGGCGTGAGCCACCACGCCCAGCCTAGGGAAGATAACTTTTAAAGAATCAGGAACAAAGTCAGAAGCAGCAGCAGCAGGTACATGGGAAACACACATTTTTAAATTTATACTTCCTCATGGTTCTCTTGGATATCCTCTGGAACTGTTTAGAAGACTGAAGAATTTCATCCCCCAGAAACTCACACCGTTGAAGCTCAGCATGTCTTTGGGCCAATAGCTTCATGGATTTATCAGTCACTGTTTCTATGAGGTCATCCACCTATGACAGATAAATACCAAGAAATGAAGCCATGTTTTGGAAAGCCTTGTCAAAATCAAAGGGATAGTTGCTTTTCCCAAGAGAAGAGTTCTGGAACTGGTGGACATTTTGCAAGTCTTAAAATATTATTCTAATTCAAGTCATAGCAAATGGAGCTTGAAAGCGTACATTTACCACCCAGTGATAAAGACGATCTCAGTTCTTCTGAAAAGAAACCTATGTATATGCCTTCACTTTAATTGAATTCATTTAATATTTATCAGGTACACAGCATCATCCTAGGTGTCCTTAGCAATCCTTTAGCCACTTTCAGAATGCCCCCCTACTAACATTATTTCTTAATGCTAATCATTAATTCCATCCCACCCATGCTGTCTAATAGGGCTGTGCATTTGGTTAAGCCTGGTTCTCTGATGCTTCTGAGATTCAAAAGTTAAAAGCCTTTGTCCACTACCTGCATTTGAAGCTTTCCTACTGTCAAATCTGATTTTCGAAGGATGTTTTTCATGCCATGCTTCTTCTTTTTAAGTGCTGGAAAGTGTGGTCTCTTTTTTGGTGAATATGGCCCCTATGGTAAAAATGCAAAACACATCAGATTAGGAACTACCAACATTATTTTTGTGATGGTGCTTTAACAAGAGTTCTCACCTTCGGGACATTCTCTTATAAACTGAACATTTGCCACATAACAATATTGGGTTGGAGGCTGTATTCATATTATTCTCCACACCCAAGTATCTTCTTTGTGCCCAGAGCTCTCTTTGAAGAGATCTATAGGGTGCAGAGAAATGAGATTGTCTGACTCTGAAAGAATATACAGCATCAGGAAAAAAGCAGGTCTTCATAAGGGGAAGAAGAAGAAATTGCCTCTGGAGCTGCCAGGCACAGTGACAGTGTGGGGCCGTTGTGGAACAGTGCCCCAGAAAGCTCATTATCAGTGAATCTAGTTGTTAATTTGGTCTCGTTTCTGCAGGTTTCCTTATTTTCATGGCAGTCATATCTTCAAACATAAAAAGAAAGCTCTGGGTTCTTTTCACCCCATGCCTGATACTTTTCCCATTATCCCTGGCTTACTGGTTACAAGTACCTGTCCTAATAGTGTTGCAATTGGAAATCATTCCCAGGTCATGGCTCCAAGCTAATACGCCCTTTTTAGTTTTATTGAGTTTACTCTTCCTTCTCCTTGTGCTTAATAATTCACATTAGGACTATTGTGAGACTTACACAAAGTAGGATATGGGACCAGATCTGGATCCTACCCTTTGCCTTTACAAATGGAGTCTGCTGAACCACTGCTACCCTGCCAGCTTGCCCAGCTCAAATGTCACTTACAGAATCTTCCCTGATCTAGCTAAAGTAAGACCCCTCTTTTTTCTCTTTCATAAAATCCAGTACTTTTTCCTGTTAAGCACCTAGCATACTAGCATACTTGGCAGTTACTACATTATGTCTGTGTTTATTGAATACAACTACAGCAAAATCTAGTGCCTAGGCAAGTTTTGTAAAGCAGGACTAGTTGGGGCTGGTATGGACTGAAGAGAACACACCTCCTGCAGTACCTTGGTGCAGCTCCTGCTTGTTGCCTTGAGGAATTGGCCTAGTACTTTCAAATCTTTTTATTTTTCAAAAGAAAGTTGAAAACCCAAAATTTTATTTGAAATATCCTAATTTTTAAATGTGGACAATTAATTCAAATACATATATAGATTTTAAGATGAGGTCTCACTCTGTTGCCTGCTCTGGAGAGCAGTGGCATGATCATGGCTCACTAAAGCCTCAACCTCTGTAGGCTCCAGTGATCCTCCCACCTCAGCCTCCCGAGGAGCTGGGACTAAAAGTGTACACCACCATGCCCAGCTAATTTTTATATATTTTTGTAGAGGTGGGGTTTTGCCATGTTGCCCAGGCTGGTATCGACCTCCCGAGCTCAAGTGATCCTCCCTCACCAGCCTTCAAAAGTGCCAGGATTATAGACATGAGCCACCACACCCAGCCAATTCAAATATATTTTTGAGAACATTCTGAGGGCTAAACAAACCATTTTCATAGCTAGTTGACAACCTCTGATCTAACACCATTTGATGGAAAGAAATTCTTAATCATAGCCAAATGCCCCATCTTTATCTTTATGGTTAGTGTTATGTGTGTCCTAAGAAGTCTTTATGCTGAAGTCATGAAGATATTCTTATTGTCCTCCAGGAGTTTTAAGGTTTCTGCCTTTTCCACTTAAATCTATAACTGAACAGAAATTAATTTTTGTATATGGTGTGAGACAGGGATCAATTTTCATTTTTTTCCTATATGAATGCCCACTTATTGCAGCAACATTTGTTCAAAAGATTATCCTTACCCCACTGCTGTGTGGCACTATGGTTTAATGTGTATCTCCTCTATTTGATTGTAAGTTCCACAGAAGCAAGACCATGTCCATTGGATCACCCTATACTCCCCATCCCAAACCTACAAACTGCCTAAACCATAATATGGGCACACTAAATACGAACCTAGCACACAAAAGGCAAAAATTCAAAACTAATATCAGTGCACTCTGACAGTGGTGTTCCAGAGCAGTACTGTTCAGTGGAACTTTCTGTGAAGATGGAAATGTGCTGTGCTCTATCTGTGCTGTATAGGACAGCCACTAACTAGGTGCAATTATTGGCCATTTGAAACGTAGCTAGTGCAACTGGGGAACTGAACTTTTAATTTTATTTAATTTTAATTAACATAGGTAGTGACATTCAGCTATTGACTAGCATATTTGGACACTACAGTTAGTCTATAGCATAGCAATTACTACTAAGGACTCTAGAGCCAGTTCTTCCTGGGTTTGAAACTTGGCTCTGTCACTTACATGGGCAAATTACTTAAACTCTCAGTACCATTCCTAAAATAAGGATAATATTGCTACCTACATTATAGGGCTGTTGTAAGCGTTATCCAAGTTGATATTTTTAAAGCACTTAGAACAGAGTTTGGAACATAGCTTTAAGGTAAGTCTTATATCTAAAATAATAATAGTCCATGGTTCTATTTTTGAAAAACAGACTGGGCAATTTAGGATCAAACATACATGCATGGCCAGTCACGGTGGCTTACATCTGTAATTCCAGCACTTTGGGAGACCAAGGCAGGTGGATCACTTGAGACCAGGAGTTCGAGATGAGCCTGGCCAACATGGCAAAACCCTGTCTCTACTAAAACTACAAAAATTAGCCAGGCATGGTTGTGCATGCCGGTAGTCCCAGCTAGATAGGAGGCTGAGGTAAGAGAATCACTTGAACCCAGGAGACAGAGGTTGCAGTGAGCCAAAATTGTGCCACTGCACTCCAACCTGGGCGAGCGACAGAGCGAGACTCTGCCTCAAAACAAACACACACAAAAACCCATGCATACCTATGGATAAGTAAAAGCATTGGTTTGGAGAGTCCTAGATCATCTACACTGCATTTTCTGTGTTGTACATGTGGCTATTTACATTTTAATTTCAATGAAAATTAAGATTAAAAATTCAGTTCCTCAATTGCACTGACCACATTTCAGTGGAGCTAACAGCTACTATATTGGACAATGTATACTTGCATCTTCACGGAAAGTTGCATTGGACAGTGCTGGTCTAATGAGTTCCACTCCACATAGTATGCACAGATAGGCCAGAATGCTAATATACTAACATTTGAAGAGTGAGAAAGTCAGTTACAAATATCCAAACTCCACTGTTGCCCAGATGTAGTAGAAGCTGAACAGTTTGAGCATAGAAGTAGAAGAATCTGACCCAGAGAGTACCCTAAATTCTTGGAGAGGAGACAGAAGCAGCAGATTTAAAGGCTTATCGTGGAGGACTTATGGTAGGACAGAACTTGGTTTTCACAAAATCTCTAAACATTGAATTATATGTAAGTCTTTAGAGGCAAATTTGTTTAGCGTTTTACCTTTTGTAGTCCTGAAGGAAGAGATGTCACAGATAACCGCTTGGTGGTTCTCCTGGCCCGAAGGAGTGTATTTCCCTGGGTTATCTCCTCTGTCTCTGCCTCTACAACATCAAGTTGTATAGTCGCTTAGAGAAAGGGGGAAAAAGGAATCTGTAAGGATCAAAATGAGGAACACATTTTTCCTATTAAAAATACAGTATTCTTAGAAGACAGCATCACATGCTGCTTCAGTGGCTTTTTTTCTTTAGAGTTAAAAATAAAAAATGGATTTGCTCTTCCCAATCTTACATTTTCTCCTGCAAACCTTTGCCTTTTGTTATGGTCATGACCTCAGTGGACACCAACCCAGTCTTTGACAAGGTAGCCACCTCTCTCTGTCTTCGAGATTTAAGTTTTTCCCCTGAACCATTGTGGAATTAGAAAAGTAATCCTCTACTATGCAAGACCCTCCCTTGGGTATTCATTGTGGATTAAAGTAAATTTTCTCTCTGTTTTCAAGAAATGTGGCTCAAGACTCAGTCATTTACATATCATTGATTCATCTTTCCTATATCCAGGAGCCAGGGAACCTTGGATTCCTTAACATTTTAAAACATATCAATTCAGTGCTTAACTCAATAAATGTATTTATAAAGGAAACTTTAAAACACTACCATAAATTTAAGACTAGTATCATAAATAGGCATTAAAATCACTATGCTAAAAACAAAGCTATGTTATTTTTTGCAGAAGGCACTAAACCTAGGATTACTCTCTTTTTCTTTTTTTTTTTTTTCTTTTGAGACGGAGTCTCCCTCTGTCACCCAGGCTGGAGTGCAGTGGCGTGATCTCGGCTCACTGCACGTTCCGCCTCCTGGGTTCAAGCCATTCTCCTGCCTCAGCCTCCCGAGTAGCTGGGACTACAGGTACTCTCTTTTTCTTAAAAAAGGGGGTCACTAAATTAGACATTTTCCTTGATGACAGCATTGGGGAAAGGGTGTTTGCAATTTGCTGTGTGTTACGCTGTTCCTTCATGCCGCGTGCACACCTGAAATCATCTTGTTGCTTAAAGTCTACTGATAAGGACTTCTCTGGGACGCTTAGAGAATACATTAGCCTACTTGACACCTCCACTTGGCTATTCGGCAGGGACCTCAAGTCAGCAAGTCTAGCCAGAACTCATGACTTATTTTTCAGTCCAGATCCATTGCTCCTTATCTTAGTGAATGATGCCTCCACCTTCAAAGCAAGTGGTCAATCCAGAAATTCTTCCCTCTCCCCCACCCTTCACTGTCCAACTCTTCCCCAAATCTTGTAACTTCTATCTATGCTTATTTCTCCCTTTATCTCCCCATTCCCACTGTCATGACTAATCCAAGCTAATGTCATTCCTTGCCTGAAAGAATGTACGGGTGCTTATTGTTCTTCCTGCATTTGCGCTTACCCTCATCCAATCCAATCTACACTATGCAGCCAAAGCTATCTTTTAAGAATGCAAATCAGATTATATAAATCCCCAGCTTGAAAGTACCCAATGGTTTCTTATCATCCTTAGAAGAAAGTTAAAAATTCTCAATGTGTCCTATGACAGACACCCTTACTACCTAATTCAACCAGCCTCTCCTTAGCTCTCTGTGTTCCAACCTCTGCTGGATTTCTTTCATTGCTAAATTGTGCCTGGTGATCTCTTGATATTGTGACTTGAACATGCTCTCCCTTATTCCTGGGAAACTGTTCTCCCCCCTCCACCTTGTGTAAGCCATCCTTATGTCTTAGACATCCTTCAGATCTCAATTTAATTGTCCCTTCCTTGGGGAAGCCTTTCCTGAGACCCCTCCCCTAAAGTTAGAGCACCCATGATTTCTTTCAATAGCATCCTGTGCTCCTTTGGAACAAATGTAATTTTCTGCATGTTTGAAAACCCCTCTATGCTATAACTCCATGAGCCAGGGACCATGGCTGTTTTATGTGCTACTCTATTCCAAATATTGTGGCTGTCATATAATAAGTACTTAGCAGATATTTGTTAAATAGATAAAAACATGTTTTGAAGGTCAGCGGGGAAGAGCAACTGATTTTGGGCTACAACAAAGAGTATTAATGTTTGAGCTACATCCTAAAGGATGAGTATATTTTCTGGAGAAATCTTAGTTGATATTTGTTATTCCAACTAAGACAAAAATAAACCAGTGCACAGATTAAGAGTAGAAATTTGATCCTCTGTTTTCTGATGGATTCTTCAATTCCAGCCCCAGCAATATAGAAGCATATCCCCTTTGTTATTTTCAACAGGAATATACACCTCAATCCATACCAGGTAATTGCTAGATGCTTGGATGCTTGTATTAGTGACTGCTTTTTCCAGAACAGAGAGTTTGTTTGAAATTAGTCGGCTGGAAACCACCAAGATTTTTTTTTTCCCCCCTGGGAAAAGCACACATCAGTTTTGTTGCCTGATCATTGTGTGTAAAATGTGAAGTTGTATGTATATTTACATACACTATAAGGGCTGTGTGTTTCTTGATTCTGTGCTGTGAAGGACATTAAAAAGCTACAGAGGATATATAAAGCAGTGAAATTATTCTGTATGATACTGTAATGGTGGATGCATGTTATGACAGGGTATGACATAAAAGTAGGTATTTGTCAAATCCCACAGAACTGCACAATATAAAGGGGGAACCATAATGTAAACTATAACTTCAGTTAATAATAGTAACATATTAATATTGGTTCATCGATTGTAAATGTACCACACTAAGGCAAGATGTTAATAATAGGAGCTGTGGGGATCAGGGAAGGGAGGGTATACATTGGAACTCTACATTTTCTGTTTAATTTTTCTGTAAATATAAAAGTGCTATAAAAATAGACTTCCTTCTTTTTTTTTTTTTTTTTTTTTTGAGACAGGGTCTCTTTCTGTCACCCAGGTTGGAGTGCAGTGGCACAATCTCAGCTCACCGCAATCTCTGCCTCCCAGATTCAAGCGATTCGCCCACCTCAGCTCCCCTAGTAGGGACTACGGGCACATGCCACCATGCCTGACTAATTTTTTTAAAATATTTTTGGTAGAGATGGTTTCACCAGGTTGCCCAGGCTGGTCTCAAACTCCTGGGCTCAAGTGATCCATCTGCTTCAGACTTCCAAAGAGCTGGGATTACAGGCGTGAGCCACTGCTCCCGGCCTAGACTCCATTTATTTTTTGAAAAGCTACAGATGAGAAGGCAAACATTGGTAGTATTGTTAGTCATGACCCATAGGATGCCAAATGGCATTATTACTAGTTGCAAAAACGACTTAAAGTTAACAGTTCAAATATTGATTCTTCCACACAGTACATAGAAAGTAGATGCAATAAAAGTGAGCATTCTTTATGACTTACCAGTTATACATTTTTTTCATTTAATTCCCGCTACCCCCTCCACTGTTAGAAGTAGCCATGTGAAAGTCTGCATCACTACTTTTTCCAGAAACAAAACCAAAAATCCCGCTTGTGTTTGATTTTCATATATATATAAATTATATATAATGTATATATGAATATACACACACATATATATTTAAATAAAAAGTGATTTTAAACTGATTAGAACACTGTTTAATTGAACTGGGAGGAACCTCTAAGGCAATCTAATTCAGTGCTTCTTAAAAGGTATGAACAAGGTGAGGCATGGGGCTCACACCTGTAATCCCAGCACTTTGGGAGGCCGAGGCGAATGGATCACCTGAGGTCAGGAGTTCGAGACCAGCCTGGCCAACAGGGTAAAACCTTATCTCTAGTAAAAATACAAAATTTAGCTGGGTGTGGTGGCACACTCCTGTAGTTCCAGCTACTCAGGAGGCTGAGAGAGGAAAATTGCTTGAACCCAGAAGGCAGAGGTTGCAGTGAGCCGAGATTATGCCTCTGCACTACAGCCTGGGTGATAGAGCGAGATTCCATCTAAAACACACACACACACACACACACACACACACACAGTATGAACATACAAGCCAACTGAGGATCTTGCTAAAGTGTGGCTTCTGACTCAGAAGGTCCCAGGTAGAGCCTGAGATTCTGCATTTCAGACAAGCTCCTCAGGGCTGCCATACTTTTGTAGCAAGATAATCCATCCTAATTTCACTCTTCCTCTTGGCCTCAACCCAATGACAAATTGCCCCAATTTGATTACCATTCTCTGAAAGCTTTCTCATTTTTGCTGTAAATAACTTGGGAGATGGAAGCTCCTTGACAATCCTAGGGAGAAGGCTCTGCGTGTTTGACAGTAGGGCTTCCTTATGGTCAGTGGAGCCCTCTTTGCTGGCACTTGCTAGCTTGCTTCTACACTTGTAGGACAGCATCCTCCCAAAAGCAGTCTTCACTTTCGTCATCAAATTTCTTTTCTGATTTTGTTGACTTTCATGAAATCCCATGTCACTATCACTGGATGACTCCTCTTTAGGGACCAATACATTTTGTTTTAGTAAGTTGGTAGACACAGCTCTATGCCATCTAAACAAAATAAAAATGATTCATATTAGGGAAACTGAAAAGTTAAAAATGAATAGTTTGAATCATTAAAACACAAACCTCAAATGTGAACCAATTATACAATTCAGAAAAAAAAAAAAATGAAATTGAAGACCAAGAATCAAATCACAGAAAAATAAAGCCAAAGCAACTACTTGGTGTTTTGTTATCAAATTATAGTAATCTGGCTGCTATTTAATTTAAACACAATACTGTTAGAGGTAGGTTATATTATTAGCTTCATTTTACTTATGAGTAAACTGAGACATAGGTTAAATTAATTGACCGAGGACTGAATGCAGACTTTAATCCAGGTCTGACTGTTAGAATCCATGAACTTACATTGGCAAACTGGCAATCTTATTTCAATGATAGTTTGAGATAGTTTTTGCTAGATTTGGCAGTTTCAAAGTGAAAATAATAGAAGACGAGAGAGTCTGCTAGGGTAGTCAATAAGGAGTAAGCTCCAAGGCCCCATAAATACTGCATTTACATAAAGCACTCATTTAGATAGCATACTATAAATCCATATATAGCGACTACGTGTACCATCTTCATAATTTTGGCATATTTTATTATATGCAATAGACTAAACAATAGACAACATTTCCTGATAGCTTTCTGTGTGTTAAACACTCTTCCAAGTGCTTTCATGTGTATAATATAATTTAATCTTTATGTTCTCATCTCTACTTCACACATGAAGAAATTAAAGCTTGGAGAGGTTAAATATAATTTATGTCCAGATTATCTGATTCTGAGGTCCGTGTTGTTAACCACTATGCTAGAATATTACCTATACCGTGATACAATTATTACCTAATATTCTTCCTCAATTAACTATTTTTTGTTAGCTTCACTCCAAGTAATAATATCCATGAAATTTCGGTATTTTTTAAAATTAAAATTTTAATGTCAAGATCATTATAGTTTCACATGCAGTTGTAAGAAATAAAGGGAGGGTGCTGGGCACGGTGGCTCAAGCCTGTAATCCCAGCAGGTTGGGAGGCCGAGGCGGACGGATCATGAGCTCAGGAGATCGAGACCATCCTGACTAACACGGTGAAACCCCGTCTCTACTAAAAACACAAAAAATTAGCCGGGCGTGGTAGCAGGTGCCTGTAGTCCCAGCTACTCGGGAGGCTGAGGCGGGAGAATGGCATGAACCCGGGAGGCGGAGCTTGCAGTGGGCCAAGATGGCACCACTGCACTCCAGCCTGGGTGACAGAGCGAGACTCCGTCTCAAAAAAAAGAAAAGAAAAGAAAGAAAGAAATACTGGGAGATTCTGTGTGCTCTTTACCTAGTTTCCCCAAATGGTGACATTTTGCAAAACTATATTTTCACAACCAGCATGTTGACATTGATACAGTCAGGATAAAGAACATTTCCAGTAACACCAGAATCCCTCATGTTTTATAGCCACACCCACTTTCCACTGGTCCCCCCCCTTTCTTTTTTTTTTTAATTTAATTTTTTTATTATACTTTAAGTTCTAGGGTACATGTGCACAACGTGCAGGTTTGTTACATGTGTATACATGTGCCATGTTGGTGTGATGTACCCATTAACTCATTTACATTAGGTATATCTCCTAATGCTATCCCTCCCTCCTTCCCCCTTCCCACAATAGGACCCGGTGTGTGATGCTCCCCTTCCTGTGTCCAAGTGATCTCATTGTTCAATTCCCACCTATGAGTGAGAACATGCGGTATTTGGTTTTCGGTTCTTGCGATAGTTTGCTGAGAATGATGGTTTCCAGCTGCATCCATGTCCCTAAGAAGGTCACGAACTCATCCTTTTTTATGGCTGCATAGTATTCTATGGTGTATATGTGCCACATTTTCTTCATCCAGTCTGTCACTGATGGACATTTGGGTTGATTCCAAGTCTTTGCTATTGTGAATAGTGCCTCAATAAACATACGTGTGCATATGTCTTTATAGCAGCATGACTTATAATCCTTTGGGTATATACCCAGTAATGGGATGGCTGGGTCAAATGATATTTCTAGTTCTAGACCCTTGAGGAATCACCACACTGTTTTCCACAATGGTTGAATTAGTTTACAATTCCACCAACAGTGTATAAGTGTTCCTATTTCTCCACATCCTCTCCAGCACCTGTTGTTTCCTGATTTTTTAATGATTGCCATTCTAACTGGTGTGAGATGGTATCTCATTGTGGTTTTGATTTGCATTTCTCTGATGGTAAGTGATGATGAGCATTTTTTCATGTGTCTGCTGGCTGTATGAATGTCTTCTTTTGAGAAGTGTCTGTTCATATCCTTTGCCCACTTTTTGATGGGGTTGTTTGTTTTTTTCTTGTAAATTTGATTGAGTTCTTTAAAGGTTCTGGGTATTAGCCCTTTGTCAGATGAGTAGATTGCAAAAATTTTCTCCCATTCTGTAGGTTGCCTGTTCACTCTGATGGTAGTTTCTTTTGCTGTGCAGAAGTTCTTTAGTTTAATTAGATCCCATTTGTCAATTTTGGCTTTTGTTGCCATTGCTTTCTACTTATGGCTAGCCATAAGTAGAAAGCTGAAACTGGATCCTTTCCTTACTCCTTATACGAAAATTAATTCAAGATGGATTAGAAACTTAAATGTTAGACCTAAACCATAAAAACCCTAGAAGAAAACCTAGGTAATACCATCCAGGACATAGGCATGGGCAAGGACTTCATGTCTAAAACACCAAAAGCAATGGTCCCCCCTTTCTTAAACCGGCATCCATGAATCTGTCTTCTGTGTGTGTAATTCTTGTCCTTTCAAGAATGTTATGTAAATGGAAATATACATCATGTAATTTTTTGAGATATGCTTTTTTCACTCAGCATAATTCTCTGAGCATTCATCCAGGTTTTGTGTATTAATTGTTCATATCTTTTTATTGCTGAGTAATAGTCCATTATATGAATGTACCACACTTTGTTTAACTACTCACTAATTGAAGGATATTTGGGTTGTTTCCAGTTTGGGGCTATTATGAATCAAGCTACTATAAGCATTTGTGTATAGGTTTTGTATGAACATAAGTCTTCGTTTCTCTGGGTGAAATCCCAGGTTTTATATTATGCTATTACATTATATTAAATATATAACATATATTTCTAATATGGATTAAAACAAATTTATAACCATTAACAATGTTCTTCATATATTACCTAAAATACCTCATGTACCATCAACAGTATATGTACTACTCTCCAGGAAAACACTGTTCTAAACGGAACCCAAATCATTCAGCCTTTTTCTGTAATGATACATGGGAAGTAGTTCAGTGAGAGCCTAGACACTGGAGTTCAATGGTATTGGTTCAACTCAGGACAATCCCCAACTCTGTGACCTTGGGCATGTTAGGTAACTTCTGTAAGCTTTCATCTTCTCATTTGAAAATGGGCATAGTCTTTTCAGAATTGTGAAAATAAAGGGAAATAATTCATGTGTTTGGAACCTTAAAATGCATTCAGTAAATGAACTTTTTATTACCATGTGGATCAGAACAATGCAGAAAATGTAAAAGGCAAGGAGAGAGCCCACACTAGAGGGCAAAATAAGGGAGAAGCTAGCAGCCTCCCTTCTGGGACCAAGGGCAGGGTTCTGCAAATTGTACATATACGACTTCTAGGGGGTGCTATTCAATTTCGTACTTAGACTTGCGTATAGTTATTATAATGATTTTCTGGCAGATGGCAGTAAAATGTCCTGAGGAGGGAGCACCATTTCCTAATTTGCCCAAAGATAACTTATGGGCTAGGATTAAGATAACTTATGGGCTAGGATTAATCTCCCGTAAAGCCCTCTGAGATTCCTTTAATAATAATTTAATTTTTAAGTGATTCTACTACTATAAACATGTACACACATACACATACTCTGACACAGAACAACGCAAATACAATTTCAGAAGATTCAGGAATTTCGAAGACCACCCATGTTAAAAGCCCAGTTCTAAGTCGTCTCAGAATCTCTAGAAGTTGTTTCCCATTCCCATCCTCCCCACTCTCATCTCCAATCTATCTAAAACGTAATTAACAAAGGTGATTTAGCTCCAGAGCCTAGGAATACAACTGCTGCAACTTCTGATATGAGCAGAACATTCCCCTTCTTATGTTTTTAAATATTTTTGTGTTGGTACTGAATTTATTTGGTTGTATTGCTTCCCCCGGAGCTCCTACTTTTCATTGAAAGTGGAAATCTCTGCAGTATTTTATTTTGTCCTTGGAAGTTCCTAAGCTTGGTCTTTGATGCTTCCAGGACTCATTAAAACACCTCACTTCTATATGTCTGAACCATGGACCTGGTAAGAAAGAAGCGCAAAGAAATTGGAAAATAAATCGCCACACTGATTTTCCAAGTTAAAATATATTATATTTTGGATGTTTCATACCTGTCTGTAAGGTTTTGTCACTGACAAAAAATAGCAGTTCTAAGGCAGTTTTAATGTTAAATTAAACAATGTGTCCATAGTGAAATGTGATTAGTACATATTTCAGCAGCCCAAATTGCTGGGATAGGTAAAAGAAAGCACTGATCGTGGACACATTTTGAAAAATGCACTAATGACTTTTCAAAGTAATAGTATTTTCATGGGATGTGAGATGTCTAAAATTCTGATGCTGAAATATCCACATAGAATCAGTACTTATTTTAGTCTCCTATGCCACATTAAAACTCAATTTCAAGTGTAAAGGAAATGTTTTCCCTGTTACAATAAAGACCTTTCTGATCATAAAATGAACCTTACATTGTCGCACTAGATTTCTTGATCCAATGCGGTACCCTCCCCAGCAATCCATCCAGAGTCCTCATTTTTAAATGTAATGCTTAAAAGGACATGCCACTATGCCAAACCCAAAGACTCTCATTTGACAGAAAAGGAAATGCATCTCTGTTACCTACCTTTCTATCCCCTTCCTTTTGAATGAGCCATTTTTCTTCTTGAGTTGCTGGAATCTTCGGCACTGTCCAACTTTTCCATAGGCAATCTTAAAGGGTTCTGGTAGATACAGCTGAGGTCGGGCCATTGCTGTCAACTTCAACTGTAGTAGCCGTTTTGGACTGTTTCAGTTCTCGAACTTACAGATTTTGATGCAAAATCATCCAGTGACTGAATGTACTGTCAAGGTGTGGGCTATTTGGAATAAAATATGTAGGAAACTTTTAGTCTTTCCCTTATTCCCTTCCAAGTGTCAGAGACATTATTTGTGGGACTGGCCCTGTTTACAGCTTCACAGAGGTCACCAGTGATGTATTTGACTGAGCTGTGTGAAATTCCATGGACCTTTGTGGAACACTTCACAGATTCTTGAACAGGCAAATGCAGAAATGATGATCTGATTGCATCAACACTGGCATATGGATAGCAAAAAACAAAACAAAACAAAACAACAACAAAAAAACCACCCATGCATTAATTGACCACCACATTCAGAAGTCATATTTGACCTCTGAAGGGGAAGGCACCTATAGGAATACGAATGATCTGTTGATTAACACAAGTTGAGCTTCTGTTAGATCTCTCAGCTACAGCTGGTGAATGTTCTCTGTGTCCTGTAGGACACATGTGACAAGGCCAGTTGTTGTTTGGACATCTCAAAATGTACCCCAAGGGTGGTTTTCATTACATCTCAAAATGTACCCCAAGGGTGGTTTTCATTACATCTTGAAATTTTGTAGTGGTCTCTCAAAGTACATTGCTGAATTGAAGACCTTGAACCACCCCTCCCTTCCAACATTGCCCCATTTATTTCGTGGTGAAGAGCAAATTCTGCCTGGGATGGAATTTCTCACCACAAGGTGGCAGCAGACACTTGGATTTAGTCCTGTCACCCTCTCGCGCTTTGAGTTGTTCAGTCAAATAACCAGATGCTTAACAAGAAAAACTCCTCTAGAAAGGTTCTGGGAGTTACAACAATTACTCTGCTTTCTGTGTTTGCATTAATCAATAATCTGGAACATACTTCTCAAGCTTTCAAGTGCGCACAAATTTCCTAGAGGTCTTTTTAAGATGCAGATTTCGATACAGCACATCTGGGGTGGGATCCAAGAATTTGCACTCCTAACAAACCCCCAGGTGATGTTGATGATGCTGGACGGCACTTGGAGTAGTGAGGGTCGTCTATGTTTCAGTACTGGGGGAAAGAGCTTTAAAATGCTCTAGAATGAAGTGTATAAGGTTGAGGGGCTAAGAGAGTGCATTTGGGAATTATGCCTGAGTTCTCATTTCTAGCTTAGCTATGTGACCTTGGTCAATTCATTTTAACCTATCCATACTTGTTTTCTTATCCCTAAAGTGGGACTAATTATAGTGCCCAAGCCATAGTTTTACAGCAAAATTCAAGTGAAATAGAAATTCTGCTGCAGCAGGGAATGAGACCCAGGAATCCATATTTTAGGAGAGTGGGTGCAGATGTTCCTCTGCCCCTTATTTGAGAAGCGCTGAAGTAGAGTGTATCTAATATGCCTTGGCCAAATGGACATGTGCTCCTCCCTGGTCTGTTTTTCCTCATCTGTTGGCATCCTCAGAGCACAATAAGTAATAGGTGCTTGAATAAATGAATAATTTCTTTAGCTACAGGGCAATGTTTTTCATGTAATTATTGGCACTCCTGTCTGAATTCTGTTGTATTTCATCAATTATCTAGATAAATGAGATGAGTTTTATGCTAGGAAAGAGAGCTGTTGTTTATTTGTGCATGGGTGTCTATGTGCATGTCTGTGTGTGTGCATGTCTGCATGTATGTGTGTATGTAATAGGCTGAAACATTTGCTGCTGTGGCATCTGTGACAAAACTTGTAGGTTCCCAAAGGAGTCCTGAAGCAGATGATAGAACTAGGAAGAGTGGGATGGGAGGAAAGAGTTGGAGTATAGAGAAACATCAATTTTCAGCTGTGTCTGGATTTACATTCTAGATCTACCCCTTCCAAGCTTATGTGTCCTGGGGCAGATAACGAAAACCTCTTTGGACCTTCATTTTCTTGTTCATAAAATAGGAATAATAACTGCTACCTCCCAAGATTCTTTGAGTCATTCAGTTATTCGACAAATATTTGAATGCCTAGTGGTTGCCAGGCACCACCCTAGACACCAAGAATACTGCAGTAAACAACATACACAAAATCTCTGAATTCATATAACTTAATATGCTGTGGGAGACGCAGGTGACAAACAAGGAAATGAACATTTTAATTTCAGTTGGTAGTAAATGTTATGAAGAAAGTAAAAGAGGATGATGGGATAGAGTGACTGAGGATGAGGAGTGACTTCAGATGGGGCATTAGGAAAGCCTGCCCAATGAGGTCATTGGTCCCAAATGCTGAATGGAGAAAAGAGCCAATCGTGAAAATTTGTGTGACCCAGGCAGATGAAATAGCATGTGCCAAAGGGCAGAGGTGGAAGAAGCCCAGTGTCTTTGAAAATGTGGAAGAAAGTGGCCAGGCGCGGTGGCTCACGCCTGTAATCCCAGCACTTTGGGAGGCCAAGGGGGGCGGATCACGAGGTCAGCAGATCGAGAACATCCTGGCTAACACGGTGAAACCCGGTCTCTACTAAAAATATAAAAAAGTTAGCCAGGCATGTGGGCACCTGTAGTCCCAGCTACTAGGGAGTCAAGTTTGCACCACTGCACTCCAGCCTGGGCGACAGAGCAAGACTGTCTAAAAAAAAAAAGAAAGACAAATGTGGAAGAAAGTTAGGGTGGCTAGAGCAAAGAGGTAGATGTGTGATAAGCTGGAGAGGGCCAAACCTCTTGAGTCCTATAGATCAGATTAAAGATTTTTGTCTTGATCTTCAGAGCAATGGGGAGTTGTTGAGGTGTTTTTGGTTTGTTTGTTTTGTTTTTTTGAAACTGCACCTTACTCTGTCACCCAGGTTGGAGTGCAGTGGCACCGTCTCAGCTCACTGCAACCTCTACTTCATGGGTTCAAGTGATTCTTGTGCCTCAGCCTCCTGAGTAGCTGGGGTTACAGGCACGTGCCTCCATGTCCAGCTAATTTTTTGTATTTTTAGTAGAAACAAGGTTTCACCATGTTGTCCAGGCTGGTCTTGAACTCCTGAGCTCAGGTGATCCACCTGCCTCAGCCTCCCAAAGTGCTGGGATTACAGGCTTATGGAGGGTTTTTAGGGAACTTCTTCATATATTTGTTCGGGGAAATGGGATTTAGTTGTGAAGAAAATGACTAGAATCCTTGCCCAGGAATTTAAATTCTAGTGGAGGACACAGACACCAAATACGTTACCCAGTGGAAAATTTTTTCAGGTACTGATAAAAAATGCTATGAGAAAAACAGAAAAACAAAAAATAAAAAAGAAGAAGAAGAAAAGAGAGTAAAAAAATAAATAAATAAAAAGAAAAACAGGCCAGGCGCGGTGGCTCATGCCTGTAATCCCAGCACTTTGGGAGGCCAAGGCGGGCAGATCACGAGGTCAAGAGATCAAGACCATCCTGGCCAACATGTGAAACCCCGTCTCTCCTAAAAATACAAAAATTTGCTGCGCATGGTGGTGCACGCCTGTAGTTCCAGCTACTCAGGAGGATGAGGGAAGAGAATTGCTTGAACCCAGGAGGCAGAGGTTGCAGTGAGCTGAGATCAGGCCACTGCACTCCGGCCTGGCAACAGAGCAAGACTCTGTCTCAAAAAAAAAAAAAAAAAAAAAAAAAAAATAGAAAACCATGGTAGAAAGTGACTGGGAGTGGGCACTCCTCCAAAATGATCAATAAAGATCGCTTAAGGAGATGGTGTTTGAAGTGAGACATTTAATGTTGAAAAGGAGACAAACTATGTTGAGATCTGGGAGAGGTATTTCCAAGGCAAAAAACTACATGAGCAAAGGTTCACAGGCAGGTGCAAACCAGCGTGTTTGAGGGCAGGAAGAAGACCAGTGTGGTGGGAACATAGGTGACATGGGGAAGGCATAGTTATGCATATGTTTTTAAAAGGTTGCTGTGTGCAGCTTGGAGAATACATTGGAGAGGAAAAAGTGAGTGTTGAAAAGTCGTTAGGTAGGTACTTGGTCCAGGCCGTCGACAGATGGGGGTGAGGAGTACCAGAAGTGTGCAGATCCAGGGAATATGTAAGAAGTTAAATACTGAAATGAACTAGGATATGGAGGAGATACAGTTTGGATATGTGTTGCTGCCCAAATCTCACGTTGAAATGTAATTGCCAGTGTTGAAGGTGGGGCCTGGTGGGAAGTGATTGGATCATGGGGCAGTTTCTCACCCATGGTTTTGTACCATCCCCTGTTTCTGTCCTCATGATAGCAAGTGCGTTCTTGCAAGATCCGGTTGTTTAAAAGTGCGTGGCACTCCCCGCCCTCTCTGTTGCCCCTGCTTTCACCTAGTGATGTGCAAGCTCCCACTTTGCCTTCAGCCAGGATTGTGAGCTTCCAGAGGCATCCCAAAAATAGATGCTGGTGCCATGCTTCCTGTACAGCCTGCAGAACCATGAGCCAATTAAACATTTTTTTCTAGTAAATTACCCAGTCTCAGGTATTTCTTTATAGTAATGCAAGGGCAGTCAACTATAGGGGATGAGTAGAGAGAAGGAGATACTAAGTTGGGGTGTTAAGTTGTTGCTGTAGTCCAGTGGTTTAACTAAAGGGGGAACAGTGGAACTAAAGAGAAGCTCACCCATTCAGGAGTCACCCATCAGTCAACTCTCCTTATCAACTACCCTTCACAGGACATGGCTTGGAGCTACGCTTGTGTGATAATTCCCTGGACATTTGTAAATATCCCTCTGAAAAGCCAAAAAGCCAGCTGTAGCAGGAAAAAATCAGGTCAAAACACAATCTCCCTTGTTCTCAACATTATTCTTCCATTGAACATGTCTGAGATTGCATAATCCTATTCAGGTAACCATGACAACAGTTGACTCCTATTGAGATAGCAATTGATTGAAACCTCTAAGTCAGAGATTGCAAACATGAATACCCGCAGGAGCCAAGCAGGGAAATGTGAGAAGCAGTGGGTGGGGCGTAAAAGGGAGGGGTTGGAATTGTGGTAAACTGTAGAGTACTGGACCAATCCAATTTTATTGAACTTCAAATCTTTAAGAAGCCTCACACATTTAAAAATGTGATCTGCAGGCCATATTTAACCTGTGGGTCACCAATTTGCTGCCTCCAGAGATGCTTTCATGTTAACTCTCTGTTGAGCCAGGTCTCTCCCATCAGTGCTCCTAAAGCTGATTTTCCCCTAAGCTTTAACTTGAACATATTCACAAGCATTCAGTTGGCTATTGGCCCCATTATTAGACTGTTTTTGCATCTTCTCGCTATCTGGTTGCATGTTAACCTTGCCTGGCAACTTGTAAGCCCTCTGCAAACTTGGTAAGCTGAGATTCTGGGTTTCTATTCCGAGTCTGGGTGAAGTAAATACAAAGACTAGAGCAGGACAATGCCACTTTAGTGACCTGGAGTCACTATTAAGCAGAATTCTTTGGAAAATACATGAGTTTCCTAAAGAGTCCTCACTAATTCTGGCTGCCCCAGCTTTACTGGGATTTGGGAGACCTTTGCACGTGGGGAAATAGCAACTGGGGGCTTTTCCACCTGGCTCAAGCAAATCCTCTTGCTGAAGCTTTTGCCCTTTTGAGAGAAGGAGGTATCATGTTACAGATCACTCAGCAAGAACTGTGTCACAGGAAGTGTATACAGGGTGCCTGGCGACACAGTGTTTCTCCCGGGAAGACTCTTTATCAAGGGATGAACTCCCCAGAAGTCAACAAAGGTGCAGCTGGAGTAAAGTGTCTTCGAAGAGCCAACAGGCTTTCAAGTTAAATCATGCCTTTTTTTCATTTGTTTTTTGTGTTGGTTGCTGCCCCAGGTTAGTATTTCTAACTTACG